GCGGGTGGGAAGCGGACCCGCCGCGGCGGCCGCTACCTGCACTGGCCTGGCCGTTTGACCATGTGTCGCTTCAGCGTGGTTCCCCATGAGACAGTTATTCTCTTCACCCGTGAAGTTGCTGAAGCGTCTCTGTGGCCGTAACTACCTTCTAAAGAGAGTCCTTTTCTTTTTAGTCCATGTTGCCTCTGCATTTTCTCAGCTGTTTGCTCCCAAGCGGCGTGCCTGCCTTCTTCACGCCAAGACATAGGATACTAGTTTTTCTAAACAAGATGTCTCAGCTTTGGCATGGGCAGAGGGTGGCTTAGGGAGCTGAAGCGTGGTTCAGGTGCAGACACTGTGGAAAGGTACCTAAGCGCTGGAAAGTGCCCCACTCCTAAAGGTTTTTGCAGTTGAGTCCTGGTCCCTAGCTTGGGCAGAGAAAATGCTGTTTTAGCGACTTTTATGCCCTGCTACACCTGGAAATTTCACCACTGATAGTTTAATGTCTGATGGTATATTTCAATCAGTGGTATTGGTTAGACAATCTTTTCTCGGGCAAATGCCCAAACTCAAAGGTTAGAATAAGAAACAGGCAAAATCGCTTTCTCTCCCTCTGTGTGTGTGTGTGTGTGTGTTTAAGCCAAGAGAGAAAAAAAAATCACACTGGGGTGAGGTCATCTGTAAAAGAAGTTTAGAGGCTTGCACGCTGCCAGTAACTTCTGCACACCCCAGTGTAAGCCATCGACACTGAAGCTCATCTTGTGCCGTTTGTAGTTTATAAAATGGAAGTAATAATACAGGCTCTACTCTAGTGGTACATGAACTACTACATTAACATTGATTTATGGGAATTATTGTTTCAATGGTACTTCAATGTACTTGCTAACTGGAGCAACAGGGCAATATTAATTGGAACTGTTGCAGTTGAACAATAGAAGAGTTTTATCTCATTGTCTATAACATTTAAGGATCACAAAAGAATGGAGATGTGAGGATAAAAGACTTTGGTTTTCCCTTGTTGGGAATTCTTTATGCCCAGATTTCTGGTGACAGCTCCTGGGATGATCAGGCCTGGAGGAAATGTGACTATTGGGGTGCAGCTCCTGGAACACAGCCCCTCACAGGTCACAGTGAAGGCGGAGCTGGTCAAGACTGCTGCAAACCTTACCATCTCTGTCCTGGAAGCAGAAGGAGTCTTTGAAAAAGGTAAGATAAACAGCATAGAGCTTTACCCTTCTGCTGTAATAAATGGAATATGTTAATAAAGCCATGTGTTAGGTAGGGTAACAGAGAAACCTCAAATTTGGAATGGCTTACATAATATACTTTTAATTTTTACTCCTGTAAATTTCAAAACGATGTTCTTGGGTGTTCTAAGTGGTGATTCAGAGACCCAGGTTCCTTCCATTTTGTGGCTCCATTATCATCAACACTTAGCTTCCAAGACTGCTGGAGAAGAGCCTGGAGTTTCTCATGTGGGTGATTTTTATGGGCTAGACATAGAAGTGTCTCATATCATTCCTGCTTCTTTTTCAATGATCACATTTAGTTGCAAAGGAGGATGGGAAATGTAGGTGAATGTTTGCCCTGGAGAGGAAATGGGTGTGGTTAACAGTCTGACACAAAACCATATTTATTGGGTATAGAATATTTTACTAAATAGACCTGTGGGAAGGAAAAGAAGAGCAATAGTTAAAATCCAGTTTCATGAAACATTTCTTAGTTTTTAAAGTAACAAAGATAATGTAAAAGTGGGAGCCATTTATAAGAGAAACTTCATCTCTTATTTCAAGTTTGTGTTCTTACCTGGCCCAGGATTAAATTGGGTTAATGAATGTCTTCTTTTCCAGTACTAAGGGAAAATAATAATTTTTTTGGGGGGTGGGTAAATACTGAAACATTTTTTCATCAAAATAACATTTATTGTATATTTTTCTAATTGAAAGAGTAATATATGGTTAGTGCTTATCACGTGATAGATAGGTGATAAACACTGGGAGTAAAGGAAATAAACCTAAATCACCCATAATCCAACCACCCAACTATAAACACTTAACCAGAAGCATGTTTAAATTTAGTCAGAGGCCAGAAATTGAGGCACAACTACCTATAATGTTAAGAGTGATATTAAAAAATGTAGGGCACATAATAAAGGATGGGTAGGATTTCACAACAGTTCATTGTATAAATATTTATTCTCTACCAGCATTAATTACCACAAGAATTATTACCATCACGAAATGAGATAAAATCAAAGTTGATCCATATTCACGGTTTTTTTCTCTGCTGGAAGTTGATTGACTGGGTGGATATGTTTGGGAGAGGAGTCCGGAAGAGGTAATGTGTGCAGGGGCCAGGCCACTTTGTCTTTCATAGGAGAATGCCAGGAAAAAGGGAAGCCTTGTTTCCCTGGAAAAGGAAGTGTTGGTTAGTGCTTAAGATCTGTAATTGAGTCTTAGCACTAGTTGTGTGATCTTGAACAGGTTACTTAACTGCTCTGAGCCTCAATTTCCTCATCTGTAATGGGGATAATGAAATTTAATTCCCAAAGTAGTTATCAAGTTAAAATCAGTATCTAGCACCTACTAGGCACTCGATAAACAACTGTTAATATTGTAAGTAATATATAATGTAATAATATAGTGGTGCTGTGGTTTTCGAACGTCTCCGTTGATGAATATTTTGGTTTACAAACACCGTAAACCCCAAAGTAAATGCTTCAGTTGTTGAACCGCCTCGGAACTTGAACACGCCACACAGCTTCCGCTGAGGGCAAGATCCTGAGGCCCGGCTGTCGGCTGTGGGTCCCTCAGATTTCCTCGGTTTTTGAGTTTCAGAACTTGAACGGTCATCGGAACAGATTGCATTAAAAAACCGAGGTACCACTGTACTGAAGAAGATGCAGTAGGCATCATTTCCTTTTTACATGGAGGCAGACCTCTACTTTCATTATTGAACCTCTTATTTAATTTTATTATTTTATTTTTTAATAAAAAAAAATCATGTATTTTTATTGATTTCAGAGAGAGGAAGGGAGAGGGAGAGAGAGAGAGAGAAACATCAATGATGAGAGAGTCATTGATCAGCTGCCTCCTGCACACCTCCTACGGGGCATGGAACCCGAAACCCGGGCATGTGCCCTGACCGGGAATCGAACCTCCATCTCCTGCATCATAGGTTGATGCTCAACCACTGAGCCACGCCCGGCCTGGGCTGAACCATTATTTTAAAAATGAATGAATCCTGGTCTTACGATTATGGCTAAAGAAAATATTGAAATACTAAGTCACAGCAGACAATATTTAAGGTAGTTCCACATTAATTATTATTTACTAAGAATTATTATTTTGGCTCTACATGTGTGACAGTTTTTCTGTAATGCAGATTTGGATGATTTTGATAAATATTTAGGCTTTGCTTAGATGTTTGCATACTCTTATTCTAGAACTTCCCCTGCGTTATCTTTTCTGCAATTTCCGTTGCCAGTCTCCTTTTTTCTGCAGTTATTGCCAGCACCTGGGGTGCATGTTATTGTCTCTTGGTTTTTAACTTTATTCTTAGATTTTTCTTTTGGGAAGAGAGTCTGTCACATGCCTCTGAGAAGGCTAAAGCACTCAAGACTGGGTGCGACAATACTATCCTGGTTGCCCAGTGGATCTTTGAAAGAGAAAATATGCTTCTTTTAGGGGTAGTTTTTGACTCTGTTGATACAGTTTCACTGAAAATACCGTTGCTGGGAACACGATTCCTCTCTGAAAAGAGAATGTTATTCTGTTATCTGAAACTGTGAGTCATTGTTCTCAGAGCAGATGCTTCCTGGAATGTGAGGAGTTAAGGATCAGGACATTTCTCCCTTCTTGTATTCACATCCTTTGCTTTATCTGACTTCTCCATTTGTAACTATATGTAGATAAAACAGGACTTCTAAATCAATGGGGATCTGCATCTTTCTAGGATTCATTTTTATTCTTAACCATATAAACACAAATACATACATTTTAGGTCTGATTATTTCATCACTTCCTTTTCTGGCCCTCTGAGGAAAGGTTGATTTTAATAAAGATTAATCTTCTAGCAGAGCTGGGTAAGGAAGGGGATTGTTTCTGAGTGGCTGTTTCTAGCAGCCCTAGTCTTAGAAATTCCTGGGGCAGGGTAGTGTTTCACCATGACCAGAATACATTTCTCACTTAATTTGTGTCAGAAATAGTAATAGCTAAAGGATTCGAATCATAGGACATACCTCAATAAAAGCAAAAAAGTATGGCTTGTCCTCAAGGAAGAATTTACTTATTTGTTTGACTGACATAGGGAAAATTTTGTTTGCATTTTTATCCCTGAGGCCAGCAGCATTGATTACATTATAGTTCATTTATTCATTTTTAATCTAGTCTACATTTATTGGGGGTCAATTATTTTATTTTTTTAACAATAGCCCTTTAGGAAAAGTGTTTCTACTAAACTTTGTATAGTTCTCTATAAAGATGTATTAATGCCTCTTTAGTGGTGAGATTCAGGCATTCAAGTGTACTTGTCACTATCACCACCACCAACATCATCACTACCATCATTATCAATCTCACCATCATCATCTCTACAGTGAATAGAACTAGGTTCATGATCTTATCTTCCATTGTATCAAAGAATAGGACATCTCCTGGTGAGTGCCTGCTGGTCTGTAACCTTTAATAACTCGCTTTTTCTTTTTGCCCTAAAATCTTAGCGAGTTAATGGGGTGTTTACCTTCTGTTTTTTAAGAATTAAAAATTCTTCTTTGTCCTTTATTGTTGCAATCTTTTCCACATGGATTATTATTCAATGTTATTTTCCATCCCGATGAGGGTAGGAAATCAATAGTTCTTAAATTGAGATAGTAGCCGAAAACTTCAGAAAAATTCATCCAATTCAGGATGGCTTTCTGGTGGAAACAAAGCTCCCGATCACACATTTCATAACTCGTAGATCAAAATCAGCCTCATGGTTTTTATGAGAGTAGATTAATGAGTGTAGTGTGTGGGCAGAGATCCCAGGGCAGGTTTTCACCTGCAGCTTTGCCGGTAGAGCTCAGTCTAAACTTGTAGTTACGTGAGAATTATTTTTAAAGAGTGTGGGTTCTTCATTCACATGTCTTTGCTATTGTGTGTGATTTGTATAGGTAGGTAGGTGGTACCAGAAGATAAAGGAACATAGAGTAATCATGATGTGCTTGGGCTCTGAAGCCAGGCTACCTGAATGCCCCTTCATTAGTGGTTGTGTGGCTGTGGGCAGTCATGATCTCAACAGGCTTCAGTTTTATCATCTGAAGAATGGTGGTTCCTGACTTTTACAATTACACAGTTATTGTGAGGATTAAGTGAGCTAACATGTTTAAAGCACTTAACACATAGGAATTATTTAAGAAAATGGTAGCTGTTGTTATTAGAAGAGAATTGCAACAATTATGTCAGAGGCAATTATTAATCACTTATTGGGATGATCTTGAACTGGGAACTCTATAAAAGGCACATCACTAGGAGAAAATGGGAAATGATTTAATGTGTTAATTATTGCGTTCCCCATTGTGCCAGGGACTTTTTGCACAATATTTAACTTTAGTAGCCCTAGTGAAAAAGGCACTACACTGAGGCTGAGAGAGAACAATTAATTTTTCTGACTTAGCACAGTAAATGGTAAAGCCTGAATTTGAAGTTCGTTCTGTTGGTTCTGACTTTGAAGGCTTTCTGCTGCCTGGAAAAGCATGAAATAGTTTTTGTTTGCTTTACTTTGGCATTTCAATGCAATGCTGTTTCAGTCATCTTCGTTTAAAATCATTTTCATGTTTGCTGGTTGGAGTTTAGTCCTGGATCTAATGAAATATAATCTGCATCTGAAGATGCAATGCTAGCTCTCCTCCTAATTTACTTTGAACTTCATAGAGTGGGAGTTGGATGGGACCCCAGAGATAAGTCATTTCAATCACCTAATTTATGGCTGAGGAGGCTGAGGTGCGGTGTTGTGTGACTTGCCCAAGGTGAAATTGCTTATTGGTGGATACCGATTGCAGGTCCCCAAATTTGCAGTCTAGTGCCATTCCCATTATACTCTAGGAAACTTTCCTAACTTATGGAGAACTGTGTGTAAGACCGAGGATATATTTGCAAATGTAGATTTTTTTTTGATACGGAAGGAAATAAGGCTAACTAAGGAGTTTAAAAATGCTTACCTGCATT